TTTTTTTTTTTTTTTTTTTTTAACAGAGACAGGGTCTAGCTCTTGGCTCAGGCTGGTGTCAAGTGATCTTCCTGCCTCCACCTCCCAAAGTGTTGGGATTCACAGGTGTGAGGCACCATACCTGGCCAAAACTTCTTGTTTATTCCCCATATCCCCCAGAATGAGGCTCATATGTCTTGCCTAGGATATATAAGGTCTGGAATCTGGAATCCTGGTTTCTTCTGCAGCCTGATCTCTCTTCCAGTCCTTCCTCTTCAAACCTTCTACTGTAGTCATCCTGAGCTACATGAAATTCTCCACACTTGCCTATTTCCATAGTATTATGGTTAAGAACTCATGTTAAACATACCTGAATTCAAGTTTGATAGTTAGCAGTAGTAGCCTGATTTACCTCTCTGACCCTTATTTTCTAAACTTTATTTCCTTAGTTGTACAATGAAAATTTTAAAAATTCACAGAGTGCAAATAAAGCAACTAATAAGATGCCTGATTCATAATGAGTGTTCAGTAGATATTAATAACCAATACTAACAGGAGTAATAATAATAAAAGACTCATAACAAATATTTGAGAATAATTCAGTAGTTTACATTTATCAATATATAATGAGAAAGGAAAAAAGAGGCAAAAATGTAAAAAGAACATAGGAGATAAAGCAAGTATGGGGAAGGAGCAGAGATAGTAGGAAAAGATAGTCCTCCCCCTCAAACACATGTACTTCTTCCTAACTTTTCAAATAAAATAGAATTTTGTGGTAAAATAAAACTATGCTGAGAATGTTTAGTGAGTTACTTAAAACTAGCAGGAAAATACTATACTTTGAAAATTTATGGAAAAAAATTTATGCTTTGATAAAATCTCTAGACTACATATTGAAAAGAACAGAACACTTCCCTGTAGCACAGCTGTAGAGATTTTGAAATTCCCCAACTCTAAAAAAGAGTCTTTTTAACCTAAAATATTTTCAAAGGAATAAAGAGCTCTAGGCTCAATGCCTGTAGCACAGTGGATACGGCACCAGCCACATACAACGAGGGTGGTAGGTTTGAACCCAGCCCAAGCTAGCTAAAAAACAACAGCAATGACAACTGCAATAAAAAATAGCTGGGCATTGTGGCAGGTACCTGTAGTCCCAGCTACTTGGGAGGCTAAGGCAAGAGAATCACTTAGGCTCAAGGATTGGAGGTTGCTGTGGGCTCTGATGCCACGGCACTCTGACCAACAATGACATAGTGAGACCCTGTCTGGAAAAAAAAAAAGAATAAAGAGCTCTTCTGTTACAGTATGATCATCAGAATGTATTAAAAAAACAAGTTACAGTTCAGGGTACATAGATGGAGCTGGGCAAGTAAATATATAGCACATACGTATGTTTGCCTCTGCTTGTATAAAGAAATGGTGGAAGAGTGAAAAACAAAATTAGTATAAGATAGTTACCCATAGTGGGCAAGAGGAAACAGGCCTGATGGGAGCAGAGTTAGGATTGAGACTTCTTAGTATATTTGATTGTTTTGATGTGTGTAAATGAATTAACTATGTAAAAATAAAATAATTAAGCATGTTTTCGTCTTTAACCAAAAATAGAAAATAGGTGATACTGAATATCACCTTCACTGTGTTACTCTGATTTTTGTGGAAAAACTCTACACTCAGCATGCTTCCCTGACAAATCAAATTACCCATGAAATAGAACATACTTTATATTCATTCTAGGCGTTCAAGCAATAACACCTTTTTAGATGATGAGAAATGTGACAAGAAAGAATGGGTAGAGCATTTCTGGGGATATAAGTAGGGTCCAAGTTTCATCTAATTTGGAGAGAAATTTTTAAATTGTAAAGGCAAATTAAGCTTCTAAATGACAGCCTCTCTTTTGAAAACTGCTCCCCCTTTCTCAATTGGGTGGGCTTCTGTTATTTCTCTTGGGAAACTTCACTGTGGTATATTCATTCAGGACTTTTTAAGAAACTGATAGTTAAGGATCATGGCATGCTGCCACTCTGTACCTGTTAATTCTTTTTTTTTTTTTTGAACCCACCATCTCTGGCATATGGGGCCGGCGCCCTACTCTTTTGAGCCATAGGCACCACCCATGTACCTGTTAATTCTTAAACAACTTTCTTTTTAGAAGGAGAACATAAGTACCTATGCTTTACTCTTTTCTTGACTTAAATTGCACAGATCCTTCTTTTTGGAATTACATTGTTTCCTTGTGCTGTGGATTTTTCTAAAATAGCTATATTGCCAGCAGCTATAATTTGTATCTTTAAAATGTGTTTTTCTATTTGATAATTAAAACTTAATTACAAAAATACTGCATAGTTTACACTTTGATTTTTTAAATGAATTTTTCACTATTTTAAAATTTTCTTATGATAATTGAATCGGTAGATTTAAAATTGCTATTTTTTTTCTCAGTAATGCATTAAGTATTATTCTTTGAGTGTATGTAAGGCTTAATTATTTAAATGCCATCTCTTTAGTTGAAGAAGATGACCTTCACCCATAGTTCTTATCCATTTTTCTATTATAACACCTACTATCCTGCATGATATTATTCACATTAATCAGCTAGACTTTAATTAATTAATTCAGCTAGACTTTGAGATTAAGATCAGCAGTTGTACTCCTTTCCATTTGCCTAATGGATGCTCAGTAAATGTTGGCTAAAAGAGTAAATGAACCAGAGTTTCAGATGGGTAGTTATAAGGTATACTTTGATACTATCTGTGATTTCTCTGTAGGAGTTTGAGGGGAAAGTTAAAGAGGAACTGGAAATAAGATTCATACTTTTTTGTAGTTTTAAAGAGAATGCAGATTTGTGGCTATGTACAAAACAGTGAGTCTCAGCCTTTTAAAAACTCATATCCTACCCCTTTTAATACACTTAAAGTGAATCCTCTACAGTTTCCCACAAAAAGCAACCAGAGTTTCTTTGAGAAATGTCTCATTCCAAGTCTGGAGTACAAAATGTACAAGATAAGCTTGAACATCTTGCTGTATCAAAAAACAAAGGAAGCTATGAAAAACTATTAGATTCATTTCATATGTACCCAGGAGCCAACTTGAAGCTGTTTACTCTAGCCTACATAGTCTGTAGTCTAGACCCGGGGTCCTTAAACTTTTTAAACAGGGGGCCAGTTCACTGTCCCTCAGACCATTGGAGGGCTGGACTGCGGGCCCCGGGACAAGTCGGCTGCTAAGCAGGACAGGCAGCGGCGGCAAAAACACCCAGCAGGCCGGAAAAATGTCCTCAGCAGGCTGCATGTGGCCCGCGGGCTGTAGTTTGAGGATACCTGGTCTAGACCACAAGATTGAAACACGTTAAAATATTAAAGATACAGAAGTTTATAATGGTACTAAATCACAGTTACCTTTAGAGGTTGCTAAGGCGTTGACTTACTCTAAAAAACTGATTTCTGCACCCCCTCTTTCTCAATTGGGTGGGTGCCTCTTTTGTGCAACAAGTAACCAACTACTTTTATAAAGTAGTTGAAGAGAGTAGGTCTATGAGGAAGAATTGTTAAGAAACAAAGATGGAATCTTACAGTTAGGATATCCCCAACATTTGTAAACAGTGATCATCAATAGCTGCTAAAAATCATTTGGTTCAAGCTGACGACATCTGACTCCACCAGTCTACCTTAAAATCACAGAAAAGACAGGCAAACATCATTGTGTCTCCTTGTATGATGTGATAATAGACTCTATGAAGAGTACATGAAGTCATACATGAACTTGATCACACCTTTAAGTATAACTACTAGCTTATAATGAAATACAGGGAATATTGACACCACAAGGTGCAATCCAAAATGTGGAAAATTCTACTGGACAAGTATCAAGTTTTCTTATTAAAAAGACAGTTAAAATTTTTTTAAAAGAGGGGCGAGTTAATTAGGAGAAACGAAGAGACATATCAACCAAGTGAAATATGTGGACCTTATTTACACCCTAATTCAAACAAACTGTAAAAAGACATTTGTGAGATGACATTAGGTGACATTAAGAATTATTGATTATTTTAAGACATGATAAGGCCTTGGGGTTATAATTTTTTAAGTCCCTATTTTAAAGATAAACATTAAAATATTTATAGCTAAAAAGAAGATGATGTTAGAGACTTTATATATAATTTGGAAGGGAGAGTAGCTGAGGCATTGGATGAAAAAAGATTGATCATGTTGTTAAAGATGGATCATGAGTATGTAGGAGTTAATCATATTTCCTCTCTACGTTTGTATATGTTTAAAATTTTCTAAAATAAAATGTCTAATAAAAAGTATATTCCATTCTGTCCTATTGAGACCTTATAAAACTCCTGTAAATTCTTTTATGTTTTGCAATAAGAAAGTGATGTCTGTCGTGCCAGCTACCAGGGAAGCTGAGGCAAAGAGGATTGTTTGAGCCCAGAAGTTTAGAGGCTGCAGTGAGCTATGATTGTGCCCCTGAACTCTAGCCTGGGGGTTCAAAAGGGCACATAAATTATGGCATAGCAGGGACTAGAATATTGCTGTTTAATATGAACATATTAAATCAGATTATAAAAGATTAAAGGGATTTTTAAGATCTAAAGCAAAAGAGGAAAGCTTTGTAAATATGAATATCAAGTTACTACAAAAAGAATTGTGGAATTGGATTTGGTAGGAAATAATACATTTTAATTTAAGAATGATAGAAGGGAGAAAGTGAGAGGAAGACTTGATTTCTTAGCTTTGGTGGAACAGGGAAAAGAATTTACTTGGAATGACAATAAAAGTAGCTTGAAGCAAAAAGCACCAATTAGGTTTAGCAAAAGATAAGGTCTAACTATAAGGAGTAATCAGTAAATAAAGATTGTGATCAGTTTTTCAATTTTATTTGAAAAACTAGTGTATATCAATTTAGAGTAGTAAGTAGGATTAAAAGCAGCCTGGGCAACATAGCAAGATCTGTCTCTAAAAAGTATTTTAAAATGTGAGCAAGGCATAGTAGCATGCCTGTAGTTCCAGCTACAGGTTGGAAGGTTCACTTGAGCCCAGGAGTTTCTGACTGCAGTGAGCAGTGATTGCACCACTACACTCCAGCCTGGGTGACACAGTAAGACCCTCCCTCTTCAAAACAAAACAAAACAAAAATGTGATTTATCTCCCAAATTAAGCTGTAAGCTCTTTTAGGGAAACAGGTTTTATATGTTGTTGAGTCTTCCACAAGCTCAAACACAGTGCAGTGTGTTAGGTATTCAATAAATGTTTTTATAGATGATTTATGACTAGTGGTTAATTTCTTTTGAGAAAAGAACAACCTGGCATTTTTTTTAACTTCTCTGGAGTAAGTTGATTTTTATGGTGCTATTTAAAGGCCCAGATAGCTATCAACTAAGTTTATGTAATAAGACAGACAGGAACTCAGTTTTTCTGGAGGCTACCTCAAGCTTGTATTTCATACACAATAGAACCTCCATTGTTGACCATCTCCCTACATTGACCACCTCTGTAAGTTGACCTAAATATCATAGACTAGACATACACCATAGGTATGTATCAATACAGTAGATCTAGTTCCTTATGTTGATTACCTCTGCATGTCCCTCAGCTGGCCAATTTACAAGAGGTTCTACTATATAGATAGGTTTTTTGTACAAAGTAAGAGGAAGCACATGAGGAATTGAGATGAGGAGGTGAGTGTAGTATGAATTTTAGAACATTTTAAATACTACAGATGTACCTTTTAAAATGATTATTTATTCAAAAGAATTTGTGTAGTACTTGATGTGCAAGCATTGATAGGATATTTTTCCATCTAACTTTTTTTTTTTTTTTTGAGAGACAGAGTCTCAAGCTGTCACCCTGGGTAGAGTGCTGCTGTGGCATCACAGCTCACAGCAACCTCCAACTCCTAGGCTCAAGCAAGTCTCCTGCCTCAGCCTCCTGAGTAGCTGGGACCACAGGCACCACCACAATGCTCAGCTATTTTTTGGTTGCAGCTGTCATTGTTGTTTGGTGGGCCCCAGCTGGATTCGAACCCCCCACCTTGGGTGTACGTGGCTGGTGCCTTAGCCACTTGAGCCACAGGCACCGAGCCACTATTTTTATTTTTTTAATTGCTTTTTATTAAATCATAACTTTGTACATTGATGCATTTATGGGTTCAGGGTACTGCTTCAATAAGTTTTTCTATTTTTAGTAGAGACAGGGCCTTGCTTTTTGCTCAGGCTGGTCTCAAACTCATGAACTCAAGCAATCCATCTGGCTTGGCTTCCCAGAGTGCTAGGTTTACAGGTGTGAGCCGCCACGGCTTCATTAAACTTTATTTAACTTTTTCAACAGTGTTTATAGTATTATACACTTAAGTTGAATGATTATTTTTTTCAACATTAAAATTGCATTTTTAATCAGGTTGTAATTTTACTTTATTTACTTCATTAAAATGAATCCATTTTACTTCTTTTATCCATTTTCACTACTAAAATACAATGATTTGATTGATTGACTTTTAGCTATTGGGTAGTCAGAGAGCTTTTCCATTACACTAGTAGTAAGAATTTTTTAATTCAGCTGTTTGCATAAAAATGTATCTCTAGTGAAAAGGTTAAAATACATCTAAGCATATTAACCAATCACTTGTTAATCATGTAATATTTTTGTAGTGATGAAAATATAAGCATCAGCTTCTGGATGTTAACATCAAGCTATTTTTATCTTGTTTCATAGAATAATAATAACCTGGATGCCTGCTGTGCTGTTCTCTCTCAGGAGAGTACAAGGTATCTTTATGGAGAAGGAGACTTGAATTTTTCAGATGATTCTGGAATTTCTGGTCTACGCAATCACATGACTTCTCTCAACTTGGACTTGCAGTCACAGAATGTTTACCACCATGGAAGAGAAGGAAATAGAATGAATGGAAGCAGAACTCTAACGCACAGCATTAGTGATGGACAACTTCAAGGTGGTCAGTCCAATAATGAACTATTTCAGCAGGAGCCACAGACAGCACCAGCTCAAGTTCCTCAAGGCTTTAATGTTTTTGGAATGTCCAGTAGTTCTGGTGCTTCAAATTCAACACCACATCTTGGATTTCACTTAGGCAGCAAAGGAACATCTAACCTTTCTCAACAAACTCCCAGATTTAATCCTATTATGGTAACTTTAGCCCCAAATATCCAGACTGGTCGTAATACTCCTACATCTTTGCACATACATGGTGTACCTCCACCTGTTCTAAACAGTCCACAGGGAAATTCCATCTATATAAGGCCTTACATTACAACTCCTAGTGGTACAGCTCGACAGACACAGCAGCATTCTGGCTGGGTATCTCAGTTTAATCCCATGAACCCTCAGCAAGTCTATCAACCTTCACAGCCTGGTCCCTGGACTACTTATCCTGCCTCTAATCCTCTGTCACATACCTCAACCCAACAGGCAAATCAGCAAGGCCACCAGACCTCTCACGTCTACATGCCCATCAGTTCACCTACTACTCCACAACCACCAACAGTTCATTCATCTGGTAGCTCACAGTCTTCTGCCCATAGCCAATATAACATTCAGAATATTTCAACAGGACCTCGGAAAAACCAGATTGAAATCAAACTTGAACCCCCGCAAAGAAACAATTCTTCAAAATTGCGTTCTTCTGGACCTCGAACCTCCAGCAGTTCCTCTTCAGTCAACAGCCAAACCTTAAATAGAAATCAACCCACTGTTTACATAGCTGCCAGTCCCCCAAATACTGATGAGCTAATGTCCCGTAGTCAACCTAAGGTGTATATTTCAGCTAATGCCACCACAGGAGATGAACAGGTCATGCGGAATCAGCCCACACTCTTCATATCCACAAACTCTGGAGCATCTGCTGCCTCCAGGAATATGTCTGGCCAAGTGAGCATGGGTCCTGCCTTTATTCATCACCACCCTCCCAAAAGTCGAGCAATAGGCAATAACTCTGCAACATCTCCTCGCGTGGTAGTCACTCAACCCAATACAAAATACACTTTTAAAATTACAGTGTCTCCCAACAAACCCCCTGCGGTTTCACCAGGTGTGGTGTCCCCTACCTTTGAACTTACAAATCTTCTAAACCATCCTGATCACTATGTAGAAACAGAGAATATTCAGCACCTCACGGACCCTTCTTTGGCACATGTGGATAGAATAAATGAAGCACGGAAATTGAGTATGGGATCTGATGACGCTGCCTACACACAAGGTAATAGTAATACGACAGGTATTAGTATTGATGCTAAAGGTAGGTCTCTTTTCCATGCTGGACTTTGGATGTACATTTTATTTCATAGCAGAAAGGGGCACCAGCATTATTATTTCATCTTTTACATGTTGCCCCCAAATAATAATATCTTAACATTTGAGTCTATTTATATAAATTTGAATTCTATCATTATAGAACTTGAAGTTAAAATGTTTGAGTTATTAGCTCTTCAGAATAATCAACTAGTTGGTTGGTTAAGATTTGTAACACTTTTCTTTTCAGTAGATTTTGTATCTGTGGTAATACTTGACTTTCCCTTTACAATTTCTGCAAGTAAAAATTCATGGAACAATTAGTTGACTCTTAACAAATATCTGCCTTCTTTGATTAGATATTTGGAGAATAAAAAATTCTCTTTTTAATTTTTCTAATATGACATTTTTACCTTATTTTATATCAAACTCTAAAATGCTGCATGAGTCTTAGAATAATTTACCTGTAAGAGAAATTTGAACTTTATTCTGAGGCTTCTTTCGTTCAACTTGACCTTTCCTCCTTTCCTTAAGTATTGGTTCATACAACAGTTCTTTTTTTTTTTTTTTTTTTTTGGAACTGTGAATAGGAACATTAATTTTAAATCTGTCTTGATTGATTATCTTTTTCTAGTTGATACTGGCATAATACTAAATTATATCTGTATTAATTCAAGGAGAGACAATTTCTGTCATATGTTTTATCTGACCCTTTAAGTTATTTAATGTTCAGTAGGAAACATTAAATTTATTTAGATAAGAAGGTGGTTAAGTGTTTTCTTGAATGTTGAAAGTTTATAGTTAACTGAGTCTTGAGTAAAGACATAGTTTTCTGCAATGAATTGTTACATGTCTAGGTGTAGGTTGGAAAATATTGTATAACATCACCTTCATACAGCACACAGCCCCTCCTGTCACTAGTACCACTTTTTCTTTTTACAATTTCTATTACAACGACTTTACTGTATAATTTCTTCAGGTGGCATGATTATTTTTATGTTTTAAACAGTAATCCACTAGGAATTCTCAATCCAAGGTGGGCCGTGTGCTTTTACACTCCATAAGCACCTGCACAGCTTTTAAAAAGTAAAGTGCCCAGGGCTCTGTCCAAATATACTCACTTAGGCCTCTGAATGGTGAAGCCTTAGGCACTTGTGTGCGTGTGTGTGTGTGCTTAGAGGTCCACAGGTGATTTTGATTGCCCTAGAAATTATGTTAAAACTTTTTATTTTCCACATTTTTGTGACTAACTGCAAAGCACTCGTTTAGTTTAATATAGTATTTTTTCCCACTGATACTGAATTTCTCTTCTCCCAAAATCTCCCTTCTTTCTATCTCTCCTTCTATTGAAACAATAGGTTTTAGGGTGGCACCTGTGGCTCAGTGAGTAGTGCGCCGGCCAGCCCTATAAACTGAGGGTAGAGGGTTAGAACCCAGCCCCAGCCAAACTGCAACAAAAAAATAGCTGGGCATTATGGCAGGTGCCTGTAGTCCCAGCTACTTAGGAGGTTGAGGCAAGAGAATCACCTAAGCCCAAGAGCTGGAGGTTGCTGTGAGCTGTGACAGCATGGCACTCTACCAAGGGCGACAAAGTGAAACTCTGTCTCTTAAAAAAAAAAACAAAAAAACAGTAGGCTTCAGGCCAAACACAGTGGCTTACAACAGTAATCCTAGCACTTTGGGAGGCTAATGCAGAAGGATTGCTTGAGGCTGGCCTGAGCAAGAGTGAGACCCTGTTTCTACAAAATATAGAAAAACAGCCAGGCATGGCCATGCATGCCTGTAGTCCCAGCTACTTGGGAGGCAGGAATTCCTTGAGCTGAGGAGTTTTGAGGTTGAGGTTGCAGTGAGCTATGGATGACACCACTGCACTCCAGCCTGGGCTGCAGAGCCAGCCCCTGTCTCAAAAACAAAATGAAATGAAAAACCCCACAGATTTGCTGTTTAGATAATTGCTGATTCTTAAATTGAGAGCACATTTTTTATGAAGGTACTTTGATAAGGGAAATTTTCAAGTAAAGTAAATACTCATATTTAACTGGGTATGATAAATTACATTAAAAGACTTACTCACATTGACCTGGAATATGAAAATGAAGTGTTACCTCTATTCTCTCACATTATTTCACTCAGGAGTTTCCCCCTGTAGTCAGCCAGAACCGCTCTTGGTAAGTTCACCAGTGGTAGCATGGTTACAGTGCAGCCCTCACTCCTTAGATCTACACACCAGTGACACTTGATTTGTCGCCCTTTTCTCTGTGAAACACTGTTCATTTGGCTTCTATGACACTAAGATTCCTGCTGCTTTTATTCTTGCTGGTTCTTCTTCATCTCTCTGACCTCTCACCTCGTTTTCTGTTATCCGTTTGTTCCCAATGAAATCAAGCCTCACAGTTCAATTCTTGAACCTCTTTTTTCTGTCTATACTTTTCTTAAATGATTTCATTTGGCCTCTTGACTTTAAATGACATGACATAATATGCTAATGACCCCCAAATTTACAGAATTTGTGATACCAACCAGCTGGACTTCTTTCCTCACTACCAAGCCAGTTTATTTAAGTACCTACTCCACATCTCATTTAATAGTTATCTCAAACTTACTGTGTCTGAAACAGCTTCTGACAACTTCCTCTTCCCCCAGCTTACCCTTCCTGTGGTCAGTCTTCCATATTAGTTGTTGGCAATTTAATTTTTTTAAATGTATATTAGGCCAAAAACCTTGGAAACCTACTTGACTGCTTTCTTTCACATTTCACATCTAGTTTGACAACAAATCTGTCGCCTCTACCCTTCAGAGCATATCAAGAATGTCACTTCTTATCATCCCCTTGGCCACCACTCTGTTCTGAGCCACCATTATCTTTTTATTGGATTATTACAATGGCCTACCTGTTCTTACCCTTGCTTCCTTGTAGTCTTTTAGCATCCAGAGAGATCCTGTTAAAAAACATGCATCAAATCATATCGCTGTTGTGCACATGACGATCATCCAGTCAGCTGCCCCTCCCCACTGCTCTTTTCCTGTTGTCAGCACCCACTCACTCTGTTCCAACTCTGCAGGCTTCACTCTTGCTCAGAGAAGGCAAACCTTATGGCCTTCCATACTTGCTGTTCCCACTGTGTGATATCTTCTCCGGACACCTACAGTTAGCTCCCTCACATGCTTCCGGTCCTCACTCAAAGTCACCTTTTCAGTGAGACATCCCATGTCTCCCAATCTAAATCTAGCTCCAGCTCTCAGCATTTCCAGTCTCTTCATCCCTGGTAAAAGAGGAAAACATGAATAATATAAATTAAGAAATTTAGTAACTAGTATTTATAGAAAGTTCACAGTTTTAGGCACTGTACTAAATGTTCCTTTATTTCCCACAACCAACTATAAAATAGATATGAGTATTATTTCTACTTTTAGGTGAAAATACTTATTTTAATGAGTGTTTTAATAAGTGTAAAAGCTTGCAAAAAGGATAAGTGACAGTCAAGATTCTGAGTAGGTGTTTGACAACAGTCTTAATCCCTACTCTATAATGTCTTTCTCTCTTTTCAACATAAACCCTTTGGAAAGACATCTGGTAACTTCATTGAGTCTATGGCACACCACTGTGGGAGCCACATGTGCTCAGTTTAAGAAGATGAAGCTAAAAGATCAGGCAGTAAACAACAGTGACAACTACAGCCAAAAACTAGCTGGGTGTTGTGGCAAGTGCCTGTAGTCCCATCTACTTGGGAGGCTGAGGCAAGAGAATCACTTGAGCCCAAAAGTTTGAGGTTGCTGTGAGCTGTGATGCCATGGCACCCTACGGAGGGCAACAAAGGAAGATTCTGTATTAAAAAAAAAAAAAAAAGAGGGAAAGAAACCACAATAAACAGAAATAACTTGAAACTATAAAGTGATACTCTGGAGACGTATAGAGAACACCTTCTGAAGGTACCTGAAAGTAAAAAAAATTCCTGATTATTAAAGGTTCTGCTTTAAGAGCTACAAAAAACAGGTTTCCCCAAAATCTGCCACTGAAATCATTCCTCTTCTCACAGCTGTAATAGTCTTTTGATCACCTTTCTTTTCTTTTTTTTGAGACAGTGTCTTACTCTGTTGCCCAGGCTGGAGTGCAGTGGTGGTGCTCTCATAGTTTTCTGCACCCTTGAACTCATGGGCTCAAGTGATCTTCCCATGCAACCTCTCAGGTAGCTGAGACTGTGGGTGCACACCATCACACCTGGCTCATTGTTTGGGGTTTTGTTTTTTTTGGGGGGGGGGGCGGGTAGAGATGATGTCTCACTACATTGCCTAGGCTAGTCTTGAACTCTTGGCCTCAAGTGATTCTCCCACCTCAGCCTCCCAGAGCACTGAGATGACAGTTATGAGCCCCCATGCTCAGCTCTAGATCACCTTCTTGAAGCATACCTGCATACATATAGAAGTTCATAACATTTGTATGACTTCTTGCCCTCGAGTTTTCTCTGCACACACTATGTTGGGGTGGGTGCTGATCTGCAACCCTTCAGCACATTGTTTCCTTCTAGATACTGTGAAATTGGTATTGACCCAGGTCAACCTGGCATTGAGTTGATAGACTCTCCGTCTATTGTTTCATTCACTAGCTCAAGACAAATCTAAGAATTGTTCCTTGGCAGAAAAATGCATGTTTTCTGCTTTTACCCTACATAGTTTGCAAGCACTATCTACAGTACTAAATGGGGTAGCCTGAATAATCATCATTTCTTTAAGCAAGGATCTTTTCTGAACTCTTAACTTGAGGGGTATGGGTAAGAAAGAGAAAAGAAATACATCTCCTACAGTCAAAGTGACCTTTCTGAAACTCCTAGGAACAAACTGTTTCAGAGTAGAAAAATAAGTTGAGCCAGGTGCTGGAATCACAGAAAAATATTTTTCCCAAAATGAAGAGGGAGCATACATAAATTTGGTAACTATAGTGCATTATTTTATTTTAGTCTACCATTTGAA